TCTAACCAATAACGTACCAGGCAAAACAAAATAATGAGCCACTCATGAAAAAAAAAAAACAATATATTGGCATTGTTATTTTATCTTACTTTGACAATGCATGGGAACTTATGTTAGTATAATATAGTTGTGATATAGTTATTAAAATTACGTCACACTCACAACGAGTAACAAAAATTTGACCATTCAAAATTAGTGTATAACTGAAATACAAAAAAAAAAAAAAAAAACATTCCTCCTAAAACAAGGTAATACTTTTCATGTTTTTAGTATTTTTTTTATATATATTTTTTTCTTTGAGATCAGTGCCACTTGTATATTCCTGCTCATGTGTAAAATTATAGTAGGATAAGAAATAGAATAAGAATTTATATCATAATTCAAATCATAACTCATAATTTATTATAATATTATTTTTTTATAAAAAATACACATAAATAAAAATAATTTTAAATTTATAAACATACTAACTTATCATCCTCCTCGCAATCTTCACCGAATCAAAATCACGAGACAAGGCTTGCCCACGTTCTCTTTCCATTTCGTCCCTTCTTTTTTAACCAAAAATGAAAAAATAAAAAATTATTCTTTTTTTTTCTTTTCTTTTTTCCCCTTTTTCGCTGCCCACATTCGCCATTGTCGGTTGGTTCACAGAACCTTCTTAAAATGTCTTGCCAAAATCGCCGCTCTCTCCCCACTCTATTTTGCACTCTTTCGTTTCCCATTTTAGATCCATAAAAATTTTCAGCATTCTCATACAGTTCTTCACAATAGTTTTCAGGTACGCTTTTGTTTTTGTTTTTCTAATTTTGTTGCGTAAAGTTGGAGTTCTTTTAGAAATTTTGTTTGTAAAGGTTATAAAGGATGTAGTTGAATAATGGGTAGTGAAGATAAAAAGGTTTTTCTTTTTTCTTAGGATTCTTTCACTGGGAGTGGGACTTTTTAGCAGAAAAAAAGGTAACTGATGAAATTAATGAGCTTATTTTTTTTTTTTAATGGCACGTACTTGGGAGAATATGAAAAAGTTTTAATAGCATATTAGATTTTAGACCGACCCATTTTGCTTCACATGGAAAAAGGTAGCCTTAATTAATGACATTGTATTGGTACCCAATTCCAAAAAGATTAAAAGAATAAAAAATAAAAAGAGTCGTTATTCGCGTGCAAAAATGTTATATCACTCAATTCTAAAAAATTAGCTCTTCTCCCACTTACTTGACTCAGTTTACAATCTATGACAACAACGTTTTGCCCTTTTTTTTTCCTTTGCTTTTTTTTTTTTTTCTTCTTGAAAACCATAATTTCCAAATATAGATAGATTAGAAAGCAAGAGAATTGAATTAAATTAAATGGGTTTCAAATAAGTTAGGTGAGGATATGGAAAATCAGATGGGTTTTGAGTTTTAATGCATAAATGAACGTAATACTTCATAAATAATCATAAGATTGAGACTAGGGAAAAAAAAAAAGAAAAAGAAAAAGAAAAAGAAGTGGGTGTATGATGTGATGAAAAATGGTCTCTGTGAATCAGCTTTATTTGCGTACCGGCTTTGTTTGGGTGCGGGCTACATCTACTGTGCATAATTCTGTAACTGTCGTTTGATCACGTGATTGCGCCTTTTGGCTGACATCACAATTCTCACCACCATTATTATTAAAGCTCTCCAGTTTTTTGTTTTTTTGTAACGTTGAATCTTTTCTCAGTTCACACTTTCTAGCATATGCATGATTGAGGAGTGTCACAATAAAAAAAAATTCATTTTTTCCTTTTCCTTTTTCCCATTTCATCCTACCCAAGTATCTGTTTATCACTATTTTACCACAAGTATCTGTTTATCACTATTTTACCAAACTACATAAAAGAAAAGGAAAAAAAAAATCAGAAGAGAAGAAGTAAATGACAAGGAACTTCTAGTACCTACCGAGAAAATGTATGAGGGTCCTCTACAATTATTAGACCAATTGTGGTTCATCTTTGGTTGCTTTTTTCATTCTCTTTTTGGTCTCTGATTTTACTACAGTTTGTGGCTTGTCTTTGCTTAGAGTGGGGTTTTTTTTTTTTTTTTTT